CTTTCGTGACCCAGGACACGATGAACGGACAGGTGTACATAAAAGAGTGCCTCCAGAAGCGACTGCTTCCTCTCCTGAAGGCCCACAACGTCCCAACAATCTTCTGGCCGGATTTGGCCTCATGCCACTACTCCAAGGACGTGCTGAAGTGGTATGCGGACAATAAGGTCAATTTCGTGCCGAAAATGTTCAACCCTCCCAACACTCCGGAGCTCCGCCCCATCGAGAAGTACTGGGCGATTATGAAGCAGCACCTTCTTAAACGACCTAAGGTAGTGAAGACAGTCGAGGAACTGAAGAAAGTATGGGTTTACATGCAAAAAACGGTTGATTCACAGGTTGTGCAGAATCTTATGGCCGGGGTTAAGGCCAAGGTGCGGGCATTTGCGTATGGACTGTAAATAAAATACGAGTAAAATGGTAAAATGAAGATTAATAGTTATTTCTCAATCCCTGAAAATTTGATGGCAATCGGATGAAAACTCGAATTTTGGGAATCAATTTTGTGTGTGGCAATTTCATCGTGGACACCCTTTATTGAGTCTGCACAACTATAGGTACTTTACGCTTCTAACGTACCGCAACTATAGGAGTGCTTACCCTATTCATATAACTTTGCAGAAGATCTCGTAAAGCACTGGCTAGACTGAGCAGTTATAACATGTTATAACGGTTGTCAAATAATTGCAACACAGTAACCACCATCAAGATAGCGCTGTAACATGTTATAACTCTGTAGATTGAACATACAATAAGTTTTCGGTGCATTCCTTAAATTTTCGTAATATCTCATGATTTCTCAGAGCTCCTTAAAAGTTTCTACAATTTTTCAGAAGTTAAAAGGACTGCTTTGAAGATCTCTGATCTTCCGCGAAGTTCTTGGAACTTCGCTGAATATTATGAAACTACCAAAATTCTTTGATCTTCTTTGATATTGTCTAGACCTTCTTTCAGAGATTTCAGGTTAGTTTCTCCAATCTGTCGATGTGTCTCGCAAAACTTCTCTCAAATCTCCTGAAATTCTTGGTCCTGTGCTGACATAAATGGAACTGTCCTGAAATCTTTGGACTATCCTAAAATTCCCGAAACCTGTAGGGTTTGCGAAATTTTACAGAAACTAATGGAACTGTCTTGAATTTATCATTAACAGATTATTAAACTTACCAGAAAGTCTGGACAAGCTTGAAGCTCCTGAAACATCCCTGAAACTATCGGACTCACCCTTAAGATCTCTGAAAATCCCAAACTATCGCATGACCTAACTTCTTTTTGATACATGGAACTTCTTGAAAGATTCAACCATTTTCCTCAAGTTCTCTTGATTTCCTTGAAGTTTTCTGGATATCTCTTCCAAAAAGATCCTGCAATTTTATTGAAGCTAATGTACCCGTTTTTAAAATATTGATGCTTCCTTAAAGTTCCCAAAGTTTTCCAAAACTTTTTGGAACTTCCCTTATGTTGTGAAACTTCCTGAAATTCTCGGCGTTTCCTTTCATTCCTTAGAACTTTTTTTTTAAAGTTCCTATAATTGTTGTGAAGATAATGGGACTGTCCCGAATATTTCTTATCTTTCCTGAAGTTCGTGTAACTTGCCTGAAGTTCTCGCAATCCTCCTGATCATGTTGCTGTAATCGCCCTAAAACTAATGGAACTGCCCAAAAGATCTTTGAATTTCCCTGAAATTCTCTGCTTTCTTGAATATCTTGGATCTTTTGACATTTAAAACATTACATTCGTTTTTATAATAAACAATATGCTGGGCTTCGCTACCGCAAAGCCCCGTTAGTTTGTAAAGCTTACATTTAAGGTTGATAGAATTCACAAATCTCCGTTATATTTTCATACATGAAATATTTGTGGTGTCATATGTGCCATTAAAAATTCCAAGTGGCAAGACTGGGCAATCGCGATTCGATCCTGCACTCTCGAAACGAAAATCCCGGTCTATCCGATCCTGGCAGTTTTCAATCAAATTCCTGGACAGGAATGTTATACCTCGGTTGACCGGAAGAGTGCCCCGGAAGAATGTGAAATCAAAAAGAAGTTGAAATCCCCCAAAAAGTTCCTTGTCTGACAAGCAATCTGCAGTTGTGGGCTGAAAAGCGAACCTTTCGTTACTTCTGGGACCATAAACCCGCAAATTTACCAGGAGAAGTGCCTACGGAAGAGACTACTGCCTTTTCTGGAGCAGCATGAGGTGGATTGCCTATTCTGGCCAGACTTGGCAAGCTGTCACTACTCAAATTCCACCAAACTGTGGTACAGCGGAAATGGCGTCACTGGTTCCCAAGTAGATGGGTGGAACTGCAATTGACCTGAAGAATTTCGAGCGGAAATTGAATTTTGCAGCCAAAAAAGTGGGAACAAGGCTCGTGCAAAAGATGATGGGCAAACATAGTGCTTATGAAAATACATACATACTTGGTCGATCCACCTTGCCACCTCTTCTTCGCTTTCGAGAACCATTCACTGAGTCACCGTAGTCACCACATTTGTACAGTGTGGACGATGGATGATGGTTCTCCCACCAGCTGGTGCAATTCGTGGTTCATTCACCTGGTGCAATTCGTGGTCCACAACACCTACCTTTCGAAAAAACCTGGTCCTCCACGATCATAGTCCAGGTCTCATGGCCGTAGAGATCCACAGGTCTAGCCAGCGTCTTGTAGATAGTCAACTTCGTACGGAGGCGAATTTTATTCGATCGGAGCGTCCTTGGGAGTCCAAAGTAGGCACGATTCCCTGCCATATAGCGTCTTTGAATTTTTCTGCTGGTATCATTTTCGGTGGTCCAGTCCAAAATCACCAGTTCAAATACACGAACTCGTCGATTTCGTTACCTTGCATCAGAGCTCGGGGTGCGAGGCTAACATTATCTTCCCTAGAACCTCTTCTTCTCATGTATTTCGTCTCCGATGCGTTGATGGCAAGTCCAATCCGCCTAGCTTCAGCTTCAGTTTGATGTACATGATGTACATGTTGTGCAAATCCCGCTGCCAGAGACCAGCCATTTTGCCGCAGGTTTTCCGGTATGCCAGAATGCACGCCTTATCTTCACCGCTGCCAAGATACGAAAGAGGATGAAGCCTCGCGCTGCGTGGTCTGGTGAGCTGATGCAGGGTTGGGCGACGGCCAGGCGGCCAAGCCGTAAGTTGTAGAGATAGATAGGGCTGTGTAGCATAGTCACGGTATATACAAAGTGGGACCGAATGTAAATAAGCAAAGGATTGCGGATGTATCATCCGAGCTGTCACACGAATCCACACACATGTCATTCCTTTATCATTTGGCATAGTTTGTTTATGAGATTGAGCTTTAATTCAAGGGAAATCGGCAATTGACGGCAATTTTTTGCTTTATGTGTAGAGTAAGTGTGCCAGTTTTGGCAGTAGTCCTCCACTTTTTAATCCTAGGGCCTAAACCAAATTTGAAAAATCCTTATTTCTTGGCTGTTCTTGCACCAAGCATGTCATCTACAAAGAATCAACTCAATCGGTTGGAGGACAGCGGTGGGTGGACTGTATATTTAACAACGCTATTTGGGAGATTTCTGTACGTAGATATTGGCAAGAGTTTTGTTCAAACCTTGTAGCGAAATAAAATTTGAAAAGGATGAAAAATGTGCAATTTGAGGTAGGTCCAATTAGATGACCACTAGGGTCAAAAATTGGAACACTTACCCTATACTGCAGACTTCTTTTTTGAAATTAAAAATGAGCTTCAGTGTTAGATAACCTCAAATTAAATAAATAATGGCGTACATACGTTTTCCTGCTTAAGCACAAGATTGATGGAAGCAACAAATGGCCACTATCATGACTGATTTTACATGGTAAATCAGCCATAACAACGGCCATTTGTGGATTCTATCAACCTTGCCCTTAAATGCTGTTTCAGCCGGCGCCGGCGCCACCCCAATGGGTCTGGGTTCAATCCCAGCCGAGGTCGGTGAGATTTCTCTACGGCATAAAAATCCCTGGTCACGTCTTCCTTCGGAAGGGAAAGTAAAGCCGTTGGTCCCGGCCCATGTGTGTTGAATGGGTGCGATATCCTACGCAGGTGTAGAAGCTGCCTTCCTGTACATTCGATTGCCGTCAATCGATGGCAATCTATGTCCGTCGGTGATTGACACTAGATTGCGGAACAGAGACCGACGTTAAATAAAGGAAAGAAGGAGAAGAAGAAGAAATGCCGCTTCGGACCATAGTGCACTGAAGCAACATCTACGCACTAAGATTATTTCACAGATTTCTGTGAAATTTTACCGAAATCTCAACAGCTGAACGTTCGGTCCTGTAATTTTTTACACATATCTGTGAAAAATTCACAGATATTTGTGAAAAACCACAGGCAATCTGTGAAACTGTTTACCGAACGTTCAGCTGTTGAGATTTCTGTAAAATTTTCTAAGTGTGTAGGTGGAACGCTTGGGAAATTTGAGACAAACAGCCACTAACTGCGTTAATTGGCGTGAAAATATCAACCATTTTGTAGTGAAATAGTGCAAATAGAATTCATAACTTTAGAAATATTATCAAATTCAGTGTGCCGCAAATAACATAGTAATAGAGCATCCACTAGGGGTAAGAGGGGCATAGTGAACAGGTGGGGCATAGTGAGCATCCCGTGCACCAGCTTGAACTTCCGGCCGTTCGGAACAAATTGGTTGGTTGGAGGACCAATATCATAATGATATTGAACCTACTGTCAGTTGATTTGCAGCTAGAGATCCAGGGCCAAACTCCGGGATGCTCACTATGCACCACCTGTTCACTATGCCCCCCCTCCCCCTATATGACACCATTCCACCATTCTTCCTATACTCACCACACAAGCTGCTAGCAATTGGGATACGAAACTTGTATCTACATTTAGGCGTAATATTCACATACTGAACCAAAAGATAGCCGCCCACATTTTGCAGTTGATCTTTCTCAAAGCTCTCTTCGATCACGATCGTTATTTACAGGAACCTTTTGTTCGAAGCAAATCGGAAATCATAATGTTATGCCTATTCGTCTTACTTAAATCGATAAAATTTCCGAATTCAATTGATTTCTTTTTCGATGATAAGGTGGTTCTAGGTGGGTAGGGGTGATGGATTTTTGGTTGATCAAACATGGGTTAAAAATTTTCAACAACAATAACAAGGTCTAAAGGTGGAAGAAAAAATAGGTAATCTTTCCCTTCAATAGGACACTACAAAATAAAATCGATCTAAAACGTGTGTGGAAGTTGTTGGGTTTTAATTTCTAGTAAGGGAGGGGTATATAAGTTGACTTTAGTGCTCGGCTTAATTGCGTTTTTCCTTTCTTCGGGTTCAGATAATTGGCCACATTGATTAAAGTTTATAGGTTTCTTTCGAAGAAGTGCTCACTAAATATATATAGTTGTGGAACCACTTTAAGTGGAAGTACGCAAACACTTAATGGTAAGCTGGTATGATTGATATGTTCTTCATAATTAGGATGCTGTGGTGATCTCCGCAGAACCATCAACTTTCCATTTCGTGATGTTGATAATGGATTAAAAATTGAATGCGGTGGAATTTTACATCGGTACAGAAAGCTGATGGTTTCTGCCATCATTTGGATGAATGCACAACCTAAACGCTCTGAGTGACATATTAGATTTCTGCGATTTCTGGCTTTTCTCCGTATTGTTAACCTATGATCTACTCTAACTCGATAAGCGTGGTTTGTTCAACTGACTATGTACACTGTTGAGAATTCTGGATGAATCCTTTTCACAGTTTTAGCTTCGCGCGAAAAAGTTCCTCCACCGATGGCTGTCCTATTTCCGGCAACCGCCTTCGTTTGCCAGGAGTGCCTCTTTTGCTTCCTTCTTTCCGCGTTTCTTCTCCTCTTTGGCCAGCATCTTGGCGAGTTTCTCTTCCTCTTTGGCTAGTCGCTTCTCTTCCTGTTGGGGGGTGTGGTATTCAATAAGATTCAGTCAATTCCCGATAGGTTGTTCCATTTACCTTCCGAGCATCCTTATCCGTTTTAAGCTTCAGCTTATCCTCCTTTTTCTTCTTTTCGATCGTCTCGTTTTTCTTATTGTCATATTTTTCATCTTGTTTGGTGCTGTGCATGCCAGTGGAGTTGTTATTGTTATTATTGCTGCTTTTACTACTGCTGCCGTTGTTGGAATGACTACTGGTGGAAGCTGTGGCCGCTGCCGAGCCTGCCGAAACCACTCGCGCTTTGGGTGTCGATCCGACGGCCGTTATCAGTGAGGTTGTTACTGGTTTCCCGGTCGCCATGTTGGTTTTGTTGATTGGAGATTTGGAAGCCGTTGGAGCGATCTTTCCGTTCAGTCCCAGCTTGGTCGGACCGGATTTGGCGGTCTTTTCGATGCTCAGCAGAGGTATCGATTCGACTACCGAGTCCGATGGCTTTCCCGGTTGAGTGTAGTATCTGGAAAACGGAGGGTGTCTCGTTTTAGAACTATTAGGCAATATTAAGAATTTAGCGGATTTCGGACGAGGTTGCACGCTTCTTATGATGAATTAGGCGATTTAGATTTATGTAATGGGGATTTTTTTTATCAGACTGGTTTGGGTCGAATGGTCTCAGAATTTTATGAATTTTGCCAACAATATTATATCCATCAACATGAATATGATGTAAATCGTACTGTGTAATATTACACAACAAGTGCACTGACCAATGTGCAGCAATTTGGATGTTATTTTCAACAATGTGTACGTCCAATTACTTTAGTTAAATGTGTCCCCAATGAGATGCCTTGGCCCCTCATCATTTTAAAGAGTTATGACATCTACGACATTTAACTGACTAAGAACACTGGCATCACTGATTAGTTCGAAATGTGTTGCCATGCTGAACGTCCCAGTGGTGCTAGCATGACACATGCGAGCACATTCCCAACTACTTATTTGAATTGACTGTTAGAGCGTGCGAAGAATGTGATTGTGAGTGCTATGTACGTTTTGTCTATGTTGTAAGCGTGATTAATGAAGCATGTAACCGGCGTCAATTGATAAAAACATTGGCAAACATAGCAAGAAACTTACTTGAATCTGGCGCCAGGATTTGCCGGTGACGGAGTCCGATGTCGGACCGGACTTTTAAATTCGATAATTGGCGGTAAACGATTTGGCATCTCCGGAATGCGATTCTGGGGTGTGGTTAAAAACATTGCTTTATAATAAAGTGTACTACGTAGCTACGTGTAGAAAGGGGAGATGGTTACCTTAGAGTAGTATTGTCCTTTCTTGTGATGATGTTGGTAGGCAGGATTTCGTGGGATCGCTCCCAGACAACCGTTGGAACATGTACCATTGCTACAGTGCTTGTTGTGATGGTGCTGATGGTGTTGTGACGACGACGATGCACTATCTCCTCCGGTGCCGCTGTTCGAAGATGAGGAAGACATACCGGAAGTGCCAGACGTGCCCGAGCAGCTGGAAATGTTCGAGATACCGGACATGCAGGACGAGCCGGAGCTCATGGAGTATAGGCTGGCTGACTGGGTCACTCGGGCGGCGTCGACACTGTACGAACTGGCCGAGCCGGGAACGCTCCAACTTTTGCTACCCATAGAGTAACTGCTGGCGGAACCTTGCAGCCGCCACGATGTGGAACCCGATGTGAGGCGGTTGATGCGGGCTCTGTGAATAAGAGAGAAGGATCGGATAAGTATAAGGAAAATGACACTACATTTTATTGCATTCAATATTGCGTAGCCAGTGTAGGGAATAATATATGCTATAGAAAACATAATTTGAATAATTTTATAAAGTAACGTTCAGAAAGACGAAAATTGTGAATGTATTAATGTGTATGCTCAACATTTAACACCGAAAAAAAGTTTTCACATAGTTTCTATAAGGAACGCTCATAATATTTTTCCAAAAACAAAATTAATGATATTTATCTGAATATCACATAACATAATAAATTCGATGTGAATAATCATATAGATTTCATTGCACACATAAGGTTCAGGTGATTTAGGGGTGCAATTTCCAACTATGGGATCACATGAAAGCTTTGTGAAATTCACATGGATATTTTCCACTGGTTATTTGATTTATTTTATGAGTGTAGGACTGATGCACACAATTCAAACTGAACAATGCATTAGGTCCTAAGTAGCATTGATTGATTCTCTTTATCGGCTTTCTCTTTACAACTGCATGGCTGTGTTATGATATTTCTAGCTAATTTTTGCACACATATCGATGAAACAAGCTTTAATCTAGCATTTTATACGACCAACACGTCAAGAAAAGTTCAGTACCCAAGTTATTAACGAAAGAGGAAGTCGATGAAAAGAATCGAACAGTGCTACTTAGGCCCTAATGCTGTTCAGTTTGATTAGCTTAATATATGGCCAAAAGCCCTCTAGTAAAAGTATGGACGACTGTCAAGAAAAAAAAACTTTAAAAAAGTTGTTCCAATCAGTGGTGGCACGAATACTGGGTTGAAACATTTGATACTTTTTGCAATGACCATAGTGAAGACACACAAAAACAAACTGGCAACGTTTATTTTGATGATGGAGGATTAGAACAGATGCCAACAGGCCGAACACTGTTCGACAGAAGGGGTCAGATGAGTGATTTAACCGAAATTGAAATTCCAGTTATTTGTAAAAAAAAAATCCACTAAAATTTGTCTTAATGATCTTTCAATGATAAATCTTAATGATCAGGGAAGAGATAAATATAAATTCATATGATATTGCTTAAGATAAAAGTCATGGTTTCGATTTCCATTTTTAGATATTCAAATTTAATTTCTAGGGATCTGGGATTCCCGGAAAATGAAAAAAATCCCGGGATTTTTCATCCCAGGACATCCCGGGATTGCAAAGGCGAACGACCACAGGATGGCTAAAGTCTCTATGATAAAACCAACCAACCACATTCCGGGATGGATGCTCTATTTCAGAGGGAAGAACCACCACCATAATTAATCAGGCTTAGACTTTTCCTGTCCGAATTGCTGTCCGAAGAAGTCGTCTCCACTCTACTCGATCCATGACCACACGTCGCCAGCCTCGTAGTCTGCGATGGGTCCGCAGGTCACCTTCTACTTGGTCGATCCACCTTGCCTGCTGCGCGCCTCTTCTTCTTGTTCCTATTGAGATGCTTTCGAGCACCATTTTCACTGGGTCGTCCGGCATTGCCTTCCTTAGAACCTCTTCCTCTCATGTATTTCGTCTTCAATGCATTGATGGCAAGTCCAATCCGCCAAGCTTCAGCCTTCAGTCTGATGTACGTTCCCGCCATCGTCTCAAAGTTACGTGACATTATTTCGATGTCAGAAGCTGGATGAGCTGCCTGAAGATCTTGCCACTTGTGTCCAAGCTCTTCTTATCACACCTTCTAACGCGATGTTAAATAGCAGACACGAATTCAAAGGGACTCGAAAGTGTCCCCGATACTCGAAAAACGCACATTACTCGATCCATCATCGCCGTGACCAATCGAGTCAGTTTATCCGGAAATCCGTACTCGTGCATAATCTGCCATAGCTGATCTCGTATGCGGATTTGAAGTCGTTGAACAAATGATGTGTGGGCACGTTGTATTCGCGGCATTTCTGCAGAACCTGCCGAATCGCAAAAATTTTGTTCGCGGTAGCGCGGGAACCCATAAGCTCCGCCTGGTATTGCCCCACGAACAAATGGTGACAGGCAGCGGCATAGAATTTGCGAGAATACCTTGTAGGCGGCGCTCAGCAGTGTGATGGATAGTTGCGGTAGTTGCAGCAATCCAACTTGTGGCCCTTTTTGTAGATTGGGCATACGACACCTTGCATCCACTCCTCCGGTAATATCTCCTCCTCTCAAATCTTGACAATAACGCAATGTAGCGCTTTAGCTAGTGCTTCCCCACCGTATTTCAATCAGGCCAGTGACAAGGCTTATACCAACAGCAGCGTTTGACAGTAGGCAGCATGTCCCGGGCTTAAATCGTTTATTTTGCTGTGCTGGGCCCGCTGTCACGGTATAACATGTTGCCTACGCGCCTGCCACTGGGCTGATTTCAATAGCTTACTTGGTAGCTGATCTACATCAGCACTGCCGCTCATCGCAAGTCGGTCCCATTTGCGATTTTGTCAAATCTGAGTTTTTCAATGGGAACGGTAGCTAATCACTCATATTTTCATGATACCGGATGAACTCAACAACTTTGTTCTGTAAAAGTTTGGAAAAACAACCAAACCGGTTGTCCCATCACATTAGAAGCAATGGTACGAAGCAGACTTAAAACGCGTTTTTCTTGGCTTGCTGATTTGTGCTAAAGGGTGTCCCACTTCAAATTGCATCACGAAAAATAAACACTGTAGAAAATTGCCTACTTGACCGATTCCTTCAGGCAATAAAATATAACCCATTTGTAAGCTTTTGGCATATTTATTTCATTGAACTTCAGTACCATAACCGTACGCTCACATCTTACGCTTAACTCTACTCATTAGGTCCTGTAATCTGGCTGCAGCTTCTTCTTTACGGAAACCCACTTTTTCTCATGTCTTCCACAGATTTGACCTCCTTGGGATGCTTCCGTAGTGTCTGCTTCATAATAGCGATGGGCCTTAGTTCCGGTGCGTTGAGGGGGTGGGGGGGGGGGTTCATGTCCTTGGGTACGAAAGTGACCCCGGGAAGCACACGCTTCTGTAGACACTCTCTGAGGTAGATCTCCCGTTTACAGTCCCAGTAGTCACGAACGGCGCACTCCGTTTGCCACATGAGCAGATCGCTTGCCAAATCATGTATTTCTTGGCAAACTTTGAAAGTTTCTACTTCCTTACTTCATCCGGAACATCAAACTTGTGCTGGGCGGTGAAGAACAGTAGCCCCGGAAGCTGCCGGAAGTCCACCTTGACGTAAGTCTCATCATCCATGATGAGACAATGAGGCTTCGTCAGCATCTGGGTGTACAGTTTCCGGGCCCGTAATTTTCCCACCGTATTTTGCCGTTCGTCCTGATTTGGAGCCTTCTACACTTTGTACGTATGCAGTCCCTCCCGGTTCTTGGCTCTCTGAACGAAAGACTTGGACAGATTCAACTTTTTGGCCACATCCCTGACCGAAGCATTGGGATTCCGCTTTCACGACACACCTGATCACTAATAAAACATCCATTCTAACCGCATTTCTCCTTCCGTTCGATGCTCAGACTTTCGTAGTAACGTTTAATCACACGAATCACCGTTGACTGCACGATTCCGAGTTGTTTTCCGATGTCTCGATGAGAGAGTTGAGGAATTTCGAGGTGCCTGCGCAAAATCAATTCGCGACGTTGCTTTTCGGGTGACACAATTTTTTCCAACTTTCGAAAAACAGACAGCGATAAAAATACAGTGTAAACAATACACTCTAAACTACTTCTACTCAAATTTTAAAGAGAAAATACCAAATGGGTAATTTTCTACAGCTTTTTTTCCGTGATGCAATTTTATGTGGGACACCCTTTATGGGACGGACTTGCCATGAGCGGTAGAGCAGCTTTGTTATTTTTCAGCCGACAAATCTCCTCCTCAACTTCTTGGAGATCAGGGGCTGGTAGCCTGTGGTTTTCTGCGTCAAGCTCGCCCCCGTAACACTTCGCGTCAGGAGCGTGCAGAAGTTTTACCTCTTCCTGATCGACGGGGTCAGGGTCTAGAGAACTTTGGGTTAGCTGAAAAATTGAAGCAGACGGGGTGAACAAAATGATGCATCCTTCCACGAAAACTTTTGGGACGTGCATTAAAGCTTGTCTGTATACGACCCTATGGTGCAAGTCTTTTTGCGTGTAAAACGGCCTGTACACGTTAGCTTCGCGTTGTCTAGTTCCAGTGGCGGTGCTTTCCGATGCCCCATTTGCTGTTCTGTTGCTTACGTAACCGTTATCCACTCCATCGTGACGTTCTGGTTGAGGTTAACTTCGATTCGCTGACTATCGAAGTTCTTTCAGCAGGCAAATAATGAAAATACACATCAAAATACAATATAGGGGAAATCGATGTAATGTCGGTCTAAATGCCTCTAATTTGCGCCTATACATAAATTCAGCAATCGACTAAATTTTCAATAAAAATATCTATTAGTACCGTCCCAATGACGCGTTCATCTAGATAAAATTGATAAATAACAGATTTTCAGTGATGGGCCCAATCTTAGATCCATAGGCCAACATTAGAGCCATTTCCCCTATTACAGTACTTATATCTTTTACGTGGAACAGATGTTCCTCGGTGTTATGCATTGTCGAGAGTTTGGAGCGCATGCATACTTTAACTAAGTACTGATCTGAATCTACGGATGTTGATAATGTGGGAGAAGAATTTCCCGTCTATTAGAATGTGATCGATTTGGTTTTCTATGTGTTGGTCAGGTGATCTCCAGGTTTTTGTGAATATCCTTTGCGGAGGGAAAAGGTACTTCGGACTACCATACCACGGGAGGCTACGAAGTTCACGCATCGTTGGCCGTTGTCGTCCGATACGTCATGCCCGATTGCTGATCTGTACATTGCGCGAACAGCCGTCGTACACTTACTTCGGCTGCGCATAAAACGCTTCTTTCTCGTCGTCGGGTCTCAGTTCGTGTAGTGCTGTAGGGTAACTGATGATGGTTGGACCTATTTAGGCCGGTTTCACACGACGTCAATATTCATGTCGTATTTTTTTTTATGAATTCAACATATAATTATGATAAATGCGTGTTTAGTGGAAAGATCTACCTTTCTTGTTTCTAATAATAACATAAAAAGTTAAATATTATGAACAAATGATTTTATAAAACGTCTTTATTCAGCAAAGAATTATGATGTTGGTTGGACCTATACTGATTTTGGTTGGACCTAAAAAATGATGATGGTTGGACCTATTTTTGCAAATGCTAATTTAGCCTATATTTGTTTAAAAACTTTGTTTAAAGCTTATTGGTATCATGAAAAAATCATTTAAATACAGTTTTTATGAATTTGCTATTTAAAAAAATCAAGAAATTTGAGCTTAAATTCGTTTTTAAAAAAGTTCACTTTCCACGCATTTGCTATTCATCATGGCTCAAACTATAGGTATTGTGATCCCATTGAAAGCTATCGAATGTTTTTGGAATCGGTCAACTGGTTCCGGAGATATGACCGGAACAAGTTCCAGGGTATATGTAACATGGACCTAATTTTGACATGGAAGGAATAAAACCTATCATGCGACACTTCACATTACTTCCAAATTCGATAACAAGATCAATAACAAAATTGAGTGCCTTGGACCACATTGGCCACTTCCGGGCATGTTCTGGGTGCCCCCGGGGTTTTACCGTTTTTTTTTCTCCTAGGAGTTTTTTTTTTTTGGAAATAAGTTTCAGCTAGCAATTTTTAGTTTGTTAACATTTTATTTCAAGTTAATTCACAAACAGAAGGTGTATGATAAGTGATTAATGTAAATTCATATTAACAGATTCTTTCGGCGCTTTCGTGGTAGTTCGGAAATCGGTGATTACCCTTTCCGCCAACCTGACGATGGAATTCCTCCTCTTACGCCCAACTAGTGACGCAAGGTCTTTAGCAGCTTCCAAGATCTTTTTGGTCGTCTTGGGATTGCCAGAAGCAGCGCACATTTAAACCCAATCCCCTATCTGGTTATCCAAATCAACACTCAACACTATTTCCCTTCTATATTTTTTGCCGTGGCTTCCTTTAATTTTTGCGTGAAGTGTCGTTTTCGGAATATTGTACCTTTTCTGTGCCTGATACGCGGTAAATGATTTATTTCCTACTAAAAGAACAGTCTCTTGAAGATTTTCGACCGTATAACTCTTTTCTTTAGCCATTTTTTTTCAATCGAAGAAACTGATCACTCGGCCAAAACGAAATCGAATTTCAAATCAGCTGCGCATGAAGGATGTAGACAAACCGAAGTGCACCTAGCGGCCGTCTTAGGAAACACATAGGTCCAACCATCATCATGCGTAGGTCCAACCATGATCATATTTATCTATTCGAATTTCGTCAATTATTCCAACATTTTAGTGAAACCAATGGATAAATGGCGTACTAACGTGTTGTTTACACCTTAAAGCAGTATTTTACTGCATGGAAATAAAGATAAATGTAAATAATATTCCATTTTTGTATGTTTGAAAGTAAGGCATGATGACGAGCTAATGCGTGGAAAGTGAACTTTTTTGAAAACACATTGAAACTCAATTGTTTTGAAGTTTTTTTTCTTCAATAAAACACCCATGCAAATTGAAGAAAACGAGTTTTTTATGATAGTAAAGTAATCTTTGAAATCAAAAAATTAGCGAAGATTGACTAAACAAACGATTAAAAAATAAGGTCCAACCATAATCAGTTTTTGGATAGGTCCAACCAGAATCAATTACCCTAGTTAACATAACGTCCTTTAATCCTCATCTTGCACATCCTCGCGTTGATCGGATGCCAACCAATCACGCGTTGGCGCATATTACCCAGCACTACAAAGCTCGTTGATGGTGCTACGCTTTTTCATGCCTTTTGTTCCGTCCAGTAAAGTTCAAAACTTACCCCTGTCTCGCCGGGGGACCATCGGGCACAGTTCTGTTTGGGGCCCCACGCTGGAACTAGAACGGTTATCAGCCACTCCTAACATGGACAAAAAACGCCGTTTTGAGCCGCAACTCCATGATGAACAGACGCTCTGGTTTGATACCAGTGTTCGCATCGCACCTCTTCACTTTGCTATTGCCGGACTGGCAACATTGCCCAGGCTACGCCACCCAGCTGTGTCCATGTTTCAGCTGGTAGTCTTTTGTTATCATATGACTCGGGGAGGTGTGAGGTAGGAACTTGTGAGGACCAGAGCTAGGTATCCCGCTCCTTCCAGGTTGTCAACTCATCATTTTATAGTCCAGAGGGCAGAAGTCAATAGAAATTTCCGGTGTATGTTGGGAAAAAACTCCAGGGGAAGCCAGAAAGACTTGTAGAGACATGTTTGAGGATAATTCAGAGGAATCTTTTGAGCTATATACAGCCGAAGAACGGCTATACCAGTTCTGATATATGGTCGCTATATGTTTCTTTCTTTCTATTCTTTATGAACGTACAAGTTCATTCTTACTGATGGCATGTTTTTTGTGCACTAAATTATTATAAAGTTTGTGAAAAATAGCTTTCTGAAATTGCCATGATCTTCAAAAATTCCAGTGAAGTCAGAAGAATATTAAACGGAAGCCAGAAGGACCTCGGACGAATCTTCCAGCATAAGTAGGATGAAACTCAAGGGGCAACTTTCAGACGATATCTAAAGAAGGTTTTGGGAAAACACGACAGAACTTCTCTTTTGAAGTTGAAAAACGCTTTCTGGAGAATACGGATGTAGATTCCTGAAGACATTAGAATAATCTACCTGAAGGAAAATTTTAAAGAAAGCGCAAAAGAATCTACTGGTAGAAGCCAGAAGGAATGTTGAGAGGAACTTTTAACCAGAAACATTTTTCTGAGGAAGTTGGCGGAACATTCTGGGGAAATGAGAAGCATAATATATATATATTTGTTCGCAAGTTCTTCCGATTTATCTCGGATTTTTTTCGGTTTCCCCTGAAAGTTTCTTGTGATTTGACTCAGAAATTCATACTTTCATATATAAATCGGAAGAAATTGCGAACGAGGTTCTGGACTTCCTGAGAGGAGTGTGCAAAACCACCAGAAAGAAACCCGAAGAAACTTTCTTGGGAATGCCGGAAGAATATTCCGATGACAAAAGTAAAAAATATGATTTGTTCCAGCCTTATGAAACTTGAAAAAATTAAACCTTGAAGCTTAAACCTTTTTAAGAAATCGATTCATGATATTTTATTATTTTTTAAAAGGTCTAGAAGTTTGTTTTGTTGCTCAGATAGGGGAAGGGGGCGGGCAGTAGATGATTCAGTTATGATAAGAAACTATTCTGCCGCTGTTCGCAAGACAGTCTCATGTAAAAAGGAATTTCACACGACATAGAACTGTTATACGAGTAGCGGCAGAGAACTTTAAAGCATTATTGTGCAAACTTGGCTTGGCGGGTAGTGTATCAATCAAATCAAAACCTTCAGCTGCCAACTTACCGACAGATGACGCATCGCAACGGCAGCAACCGCTGGGCCACTGCGCTCTGGATCGTTTTGACAAAGCACCGCCGGCAGACGACCCGATGCCCACAGGGAGAGGTCTGCATGGTGGCCCGAGCATTGATACAGATGACGCATTCGTCCTCCTGCGATGTGGGTGGTTCCAGTTCGCTTTCCTCCAATTTGCTAAGCAATTTTTCCTGAAACAGCGAAACAAACGACGGCTCAATTAGCACGGATTCAACAATTATACTATCATCGTTTCTATGATTTAAGTGAGCAACAAAATTTGCATGGTCTATTATATGGAGATGTGATCATCGTTATGGGACTAGTGCACCTCATCGCACTGCCATACTGGAGGAGCAGTGCGGAAATTGCTATTTATCGTAGGGCATTAATCTTTTCGTCGTCGGTCGTTGTTTCTTACACCCGAGGTACGGCCGGAGAGTAGGGATAATCACGGTGGCGATTAAAGGCCACGGTTGAATTACCCTTTGGCTTCGAGGAGTTCCGGGAAAAAGTCGAACCGGTAAAGAGCTAACTGAGTATGCATATGAGTCTGGCTCTTCCGGTCAGGTGCTTCAACAACTAATACGTCTGTCTTTGAGGGTAGGGAATTGTGGTTTTCCCGAAAGCAAATACTCTGGAGTGGCTTGGTCGTATTGAGATAGTAGGTACCTGGGTGTAGACTGTTGCTGCTGGAAGCAGGTGGGAAAGGTGATATAAATTACCTTTTCAAGCTAACCTGGACGTTTATTACCGGCCGATGTTAGCAGGAAGCAATTATTAATTCATTTCTGTACACACCGGACAATGTGCAGCGGTGGTGGCGCGATACTTACCGTTCATGACAGTTTGAGGTTTTCTTTAGATCGTTGTTGGAGACATAGTAAATATTGCATGTTAACGGGAAAGGTCAATGCTACTTAGAATGTGTTCATGTTAGGTACGTTGAACTTCCCATGCCTAATAAGAAGATTGAATTTGTTTTTTGAAAACACATCAGCTCCATGATTGATTGAAAGCTACGCAATTTGATCAGAAAGAACAACCATTAACAGCGCTGTTTGACAATCCTTTAGCACACCAATAAATCACTACAATTAATATCACCACAAAGAGGAATAGACATCAGAGTGCAATCAGTGTGTTCGTTACTGTAGTAGAGTGTCACACCAATAAAACGCTTTGAACGTTTGCGACGTGGTGACCATTCACAGCTATTGATACTAATAATAATGTATCAATTACGAAGCGATTGACGTTCCCCCGCAGGGATGGTCTAATGGAGACGATTACACTCCTGGGTGATATGAAAATGGGGGGAGGGGGGAAGAGGCTTTTTTTTCATCTGTTGTATAACGCCCGTTGTTCTGCTCGTTGTCGTTACTGCTGGATGTTTTTCAGACAGTAGTGGAATTGACCGACGGATGATGATTTATTTGCGAATGATTCTTTTTTTTCTTCTAATAGCCATTTTAACACATGATCTTTTGCATGAGGCATGGATGCTAACCACTACGCCGGGTCCATCCATAATTCATGTGATAGATTTTGTTTATTTGTCGTCAATCAGTGTAGACCGTTTTACAATAGTGCTTTTGCATTACACGCTATTTTAAAACATACGTTTTATTTGAAATGGTCAATCAATGTAGACTACATATACAAATATATAAGAAATAAAAATTGTTTTAAACTTAACGAGATGAAAGCCTAGCAGTCGACTTCTTAACATGCATGATGGTACGTAAAAATTTAAGCTGGCTAATATTTTTTTCTAAATCTATGCGTTGTGAGATAAGATCACTAACAACGGAAATGAAGGGAATTTCTCTTCGTTTCTTAAGTGCTTCAATGTTTATCAACATGCAACGGGACCCATAAGAATGAAGGGGAAAAGAGGTCCAGCCTAGTTTCCTAAGATTAAAAAACAAAAAATGTTTTTGAACTGATTCTATACGATTTATATGAGTTCCATGGTATGGAGCCCAAACCACACTGCAATATTCGAGAATTGATCTCACGTAAGCTATATATATTTTTTTTATTTTATATGGTTAAAGATCCATATGAACCCAATGAAAACTTAATCTTTTTATGAATCTCAACATATTATTATCTTTGTGAATTGTGGAATTCACATGATCTACAAATGTCAACTTCGAGTCAAGAATTACTCCTAAGTCCCTAATTTTATCGCACCTTACCAGCTGGTTTCCATGTAAAATCTAGAGTAGTGTGTTTTCTGGAATAAGATATAATATTGCATTTTTTAACAATAATATCCAGCAGACTTTTAACGTACCAATTGTAGAAAACATCAATTTCATTTTGAAAATGTAGCAAATCAGAATTGTTAAAGATTTCCATTTCATATCGTCAACATATATGAGTACATTTAAGCGATTTAATACAAACTTCACGTCATCCACAAATAAAATTAATATTAACGAACCTAAATGAGATCCCTGTGGAACTCCCGAGGTAACATTAACTGGCTAGGACATTTTTCCTTTAAAACGGACCATCTGTGTTCTTTCTGTCATTCGGAGGCGAACCAGCCTAAGGCTGAAAGCCTCCTAAATAAAGCTAAATTAATTAATTCTTTCTGTCAAGTATGATCCAATCCATTTTAAAAGTGTACTTGTGATACCTAAACGTTTTAATTTAAAAAGTAGTAAGGGAATGTCTACTCTGTCAAAAGCTTTACTAAAGTCAGTGTATAAGCACAGCAAAAAATTAATTTTAATATCACATCAAAGTGGATGCACGTCAATTGTATCGAAAATATGGCGTAATATTACTTGCCAAAAAAGACAAAATTATCATTAATACAGTGCATGAACTGACATTACGCTGCTTTTACTGCATTTGTTTATTTTTGTGGCCATAAAAATTACATGAGATTTTCGACATGATTGAAGTGCATCCTCTTGGATGTAATATTAAAATTTATTTTTTCTGTGAGGTTTCAACGGTATTACCTCTATCCATTGCTTCAATAGAAAAATTAACAAACTCCAAAAGATTAGCAGACGTTGACCGACCATTAAAAAAACTAGTTGATTATTTGAAATGCGATGTTAAATCTTGTTATATATTTTTTGGTTAACAATTGCTTCAAACATTTTAGGAATGCATGACATAATTACAATACCCGTATAGTTTTTAATGTCTGACCGTTTGTCAGATTTAAATATTGGGCCTAAAAACGATTTCTTCAAAAAATTTGGAAAATCACCTGCTTTGAGAGACAATTATTATTATTATTTAGCTTTATTAAGGAGGCTTTCAGCCTTGGGCTGGTTCACCTCCAACTCTTTGAGAGACAAACTGTAAAGCCAAAACAATGGTTTAACAAAAGTAGCTACCATTTTTTTCAATAAAAATGGAGGTATTTCATCATGACCAGGTCCTTTGCCATCATCGAGATTTTCAAGAGTAATAAAAATTTCTTGAACAGTGATATTATTAACTGATACGTCATTTTCCCGTAGGAAAAATAGTTCAAATCGAGAGCTTTACTGGATTTCTTATACAGGACTGTAGTTTCACATAAAAAGAGCTACTTGATAAACTAGCGACATGGTCACTTACGTCGCGCTGGTCAAGTTATGTGAGATGCCATGATCCTTGGGCTCAGCTTTGTTGTCATATTCTACCGCAGGTGAGTGCGTCAGTTGCGCCGAAAACACGCATGTCTACAAGTGCACGGCTGACACGATGTAACGGAAGAATTCCCCGAAGCCATGTAAATTCGGAAGACCGCTTACTGGGTACGGGTTTATAGTTTCCCTTTTTTCAAACTGCATCGTTGGTTGATAATTACACAGCAAAAAAATAATTTTGATATCACGTCAAAGTGGATGCACTACAATCATGTCGAAAATATGGTGTAATATTACTTGCTAAAAAGGACAAAATTATCATTAATACAATGCATGAACTGACATTACGCTGCTTTTACTGCACTTGTTTATTTATGTGGTCATAACAATTACATGAAATTTTCGACATGATTGTAGTGCATCCACTTTGATGTGATATCAAAATTATTTTTTTGCTGTGTAACCGGCGGTCTGTGGAAGACATTTTTGCTACTGAAAGAAGCTCTCGATCAGGTGGCAGAAAACGGGGGTTGCCATGATTTCTGATGTGGAACTGATAGGAACTGTTGTTTTTGCTATTGCTGTGATACTTGATTAGGAAAGTGATTTAACATAATTTATAATATTCTTTTTATGGTATTAAATAAATGATTTAAAAAACGAAAGATTAACATAGGAAACAAAACAATTAGATGGTCGGAGTGTAAAAGCAGGAAAGTACGGAAAGTACTTAATTCAGATATCCCAAAACTCATCCGAGAGGGATCCCAAGACAGCTAATTGAGCCATGCGTTTAGCATTGAGCCGATATCGATTCTGTGTAGTTTCAACAGTTTTGAAAAATAGCCTCTCTGACGGAACACTTGTTACCATTCTTGATAAATAGTCTCGAGCAATGGGGTTTACATGGGGATATACACTACGGATTTTTTTCTCTCATCATCGAAAAAGATCGACAGAACGTGGGAAAACAGGCTGATGCATTAAATTTTGTAGTTCTGTCGATATGCCCCCATGGCGATCCAGTTTTGACATAGCAGAGGACTGATGAACCTGGAATATGTCATAAGAAGTGAATGTTTGTATGTGCATATGTAGATTAATAACTTTCTTTACCATTTCGTCATGAATATCCCACAGGCCATCGTATACTCTTTCGGTACTATAGATCTGCTTAGACACAATTTTAACTACCCGAGCGTAAGCTGAAGACTCCAGGTACATGTCAATATTAAATTGTAAATGCGAACAAATCAACGAATCAACAAATCAACAAATCAACAAATCAACAAATCAACAAATCAACAAATCAACAAATCAACAAATCAACAAATCAACAAATCAACAAATCAACAAATCAACAAATCAACAAATCAACAAATCAACAAATCAACAAATCAACAAATCAACAAATCAACAAATCAACAAATCAACAAATCAACAAATCAACAAATCAACAAATCAACAAATCAACAAATCAACAAATCAACAAATCAACAAATCAACAAATCAACAAATCAAAAAATCAACAAATCAACAAATCAACAAATCAACAAATCAAAAAATCAACAAATCAACAAATCAAC